GAAAAAGCTTTAAAAGTCTATTCACCCCCCCCCCCCCTCTAGACTTTTACCTCTATCCGGGACCATCAGACATCCTATGTGATTTGAATTGAAATATTTCGAAATCGTTTACAAGGAATTTTGGGTATGTCTCAGAAAAGTTACATCAGTCAGGTCTTAGAAAGATTTAATATGGACAAATGCTCTTCAGGTGTGGTTCCAATTCAGAAGGGGGACAAGTTCAGTTCATTACAATCAGTGGCGGACCTAGAAAGTCGGAGCCACGGGGTCCCTACTCTTATGACTTTCTAACAAATAAAAAATATTAAAGAAACATTTATGCATATTAAACCAACTTGAAACAAATCTACGTCTTTTACCGCCAGTCACCTTAAAAGGGTAATCATGATCTTGAGGTTGAAATGGTTCTACTACGGCATTTTTTAACATGTTCAAAGATTCAAAATCAACATGTTGTTCAGGTAAATTATAATCAAAGTTAGCTTCACTTTCAGCAATTATTTGATCCAATTACTAATGGCGAATCATTTGAATTAATACATGAACGGCTCTCGGGATTTCGATTTCTTTAAATTTAGGTACAGCACTAAAATATCTTTTCATCCTAAATCATACAATACTGAAAATAACATTTATTATTACATTAATTTAATCTTAACAATCAAAGAAAGTTTAATAAGCGTATTAATTTAATCTTAACAATAAAAAAAGTTTAATAATTAATCCCAAAACAAAGATACCAGAAGAAAAACAATAAAACCTTGGGCTTCGCTGACTGCTGTGGTTAGGTGTTAAAAGGGATTGACTGGGATAAAACAAAACGGGCCAAAAGGACGTCGTTTTTGGTGTATTTAATTAAAATTGTTTAAAATGACCAATTGAGAGAGTTGGTAGGAGTCGAACATTGTACCTCCGCGAAAAAGATGGCCTCAGCCGCGCCATTGCTCCCATACCGCTCTTCCTGTCTTTCGATTCTTCTTTCGTGTCTTTTAAATATATGCATTTCACAATTAATTTTATATTAAATATATATAATATATAGGTAATATTTTCGAAGTCCACGGGGTCCCGGGACCCCGTGGGACCCTTAGTGGGTCCGCCTCTGATTACAATGTCCTAAAAATGAATTGGAACGTAAGGAGATGGAAAGAATTCCCTATGCGTCAGTGGTTGGATGTTTGGGATATGTTTAGACTTGTACTCGTCCCGATATTAGTTTTGTTGTTGGAATGTTGGGATGATATCAAAGTAATCCCGGAATGGACCACTGGAAAGCTGCAAAGAAAGTTTTGAAGTACTTGCAAGGAACCAAAGATCACATGCTTACATTTAGGAGATCTAATTATCTTAAGGTGATTAGATATTCAGATTTAATTTTACTGGATGTGTCGATAATAGAAAGTCAACATCTAGTTTTTCTGTTCATAGTATCTTGGAAAAGTAGTAAATAAATAGATATTGCTACTTCTACTATGGAGGTCGAACTTGTGGCATGCTTTGAGGCCACTGTTCATGGTTTGTGGCTGCGGAGCTTTGTTTCAGGACTTAGACTAGTCGACATTATAGCTAAGTCACTGAAAATTTTATTCCACAGCATTCTTCTTCATGAAGAATGATAAGTACACTAAAGGTGCTAAATACATATATTTGAAGTATTTGTCAGTTAAGGAAGAAGTTCAGAAACATAGAGTGTTTATTGAGCATATTGGCACTGAACAAGTGATTGCGAATCCGCTGACTAACACCCAAAGTTTTAATAAACATGTAATTATTATGGGTGTTGTTTATAAAGCCTTGCTATGATAGTTTTGTCAGTGATTTATGTTTGCTCATTTTTATATATTATTGTTTAGACACTCATTTGAATTCAATAAAGGTTATGTTTCTGGTTTACTTGTTATCTATTTAATTGTGATCACATATAATTATTTGTAGTGATAACAAGTGTTGAGGATTTAAGTATTCCTCAAATTTAAGATTTGAGACTTTCAGATTTTTCAAATGTTTCGAATGAATTAGAATTGTCTTGTGATACATGTGGAAGCATGTCAGTATAAATGATGTGTAACCGCCATGATCCATTCAATTTGAAATTCAGTTAAGTTTTCTTGGTGAGTTTGGTTTGATGAATATTGCGCAATTTAAGTTTCCATCAATTCATCAAGGATCACATGACCAAGTCGGAGAATGTTAGAATATTTATTTAATTATTAATATTTTAATATTGGTCATGTATTTGGGGTTATATGTTATTAATAGAGTTCGTATAGGCATAGACATTTAATTGGTTTAATGATAGGTTGAACCTATGTTTAAGTCTATCTAGGACTAGGGTTCCCCAACCCTCTCCTCTTCCTCTCTATATATACGTTTATTCCCTATGGAATAATAACACAATATAAGTGAGAGATCTTTACATGTCAAGAATCTCATAAGGATAGAGGCCAGAGGGGATAAGGGACTTATTCCAGTTCATTCATCTGTCATGATTCAGGTATTCCTAAATTCCAGATCTATCAGTATATGATTATGTATAATTAAATGATTCCGATTTTGGAATTTAATCTAACAAGACTAACCAAAACTCTAAAAGCCTGCCATTTAATAACAACGGGGTAGAAGAGTAGATAGAAAGCTTCACACCCAATTGGTCAAAACGTGAGCAGTGAGCACTAAAAAATAAAATTTTTAAGTGGCGGCAAATATTAAGTAGAAGGGGTACAATTGAATTTAATCAATCAACCGGTTGGAAACGCTGCCATGCCCAACGTTTATGATTTCGGATTCTTGTGTTCAAGTAGCCAAGGGAATAATCCGTTCACCAAACATCAAAATGGCTTGATGGATCAGTCAAATCAACTAACTTTGGTCAAAGAAACTGAAAATTGGTTGATAAGCTGTTTACCAAACGAAGCCATAATAAAAATAACGTCGTGATTACATGAGATTGATGACCTATGTATAGGCGTTTAAAAGATGCTCAATAATTAAATGCTTCAGGCCAACATATGAACTAATACTGACGCCAATGCTATGTTTTGGGCCTGATTCGACCCTTGCTCAAGTATGACGGACCGATGGTATTGGACCTAGCTCATTATCCTAAGGATCCCTTTTAGAGACGAATACGTTGATTGTAATTAAATTAGTTTGAATTTACTTGCCTAGAAGTCATGTAGCACGAAAACTCCTAAGAAAAAGTATGTTTCCCGTTTCGGAAACTCTCAGAAATTCTTTAAAAACTCTCCAAATAAGCCTTTTTGAGCAAAAATTGACGTTTCTCGTTTCCCATTTCCTCATGATTTTCACGTTTTTAACCTAGAAGTAACACATGCACTATCAAAAAAGTTGTGGTTGAGTTGAGGGTCTACAAAATATAGTTCTAGATTTGGGTAAGTTCCCTCGCCAACCGACCCACATAGGTATAACTTTGATAGGATACTCAATGTACAGATTCAAGTAATTTCATGGTCTGCCTTTCTGGTCGGTTATCTTTTTCCTGACATACAATAATTTGCTTGCCTACGCTACAACAACCACTTCTAAATGTAAGGAGGGAAATATATTACGTAGTACTCACCAATTATAGAAAACAGAGAATGATGGAGATAGGAGTGGGGGATGATATGGGTTCCCATTCTAAACAAGAATTAATAAAAGTAGAAAACAGAAAAGGACAAAACTAAATAGAATCTTCATGGATATTTGCTTTTTCTTTCCCACTAGTGGCTGGAAATTCCCATTACCATGTATGGTGGGGCATCCAATCTTTTTTTTTTCTACTACTTTCACGAGATTTCATTTTCTCCATATCTTTTCCCCTACTAGCATCCTTCTGTGATGCTAAATTATTTAACATTTTAATATATACTCTAGCAAATAAAATTACAGTTCAGTTTTATTCTTCTACATAAAAACAACTATTTTGTCATACTTCTAACTTTTGTTTGTTCAAAACTCATATTATTAAACACATTAACTTTTATTATTAATCATTTCTCTAAGATCTCTTTAAAATCATTTTATAAAATATAGGCAATTGCAAGCACTACCAAGTATAATATCTTTAGAAGATTCTCTAAATATAAGTAAAATAAAATATAATTTCTCCAATAGGAGTTTCATTGTTCTCTTTCCTATATATGAGTTATGCACTCATACTTTTGGAAGTTTTTATTGTTTAATTTTTTAATATGAGTATATTTGGGAAAGAAAACATAATTACTTCAGAATTTTACTCATATTGTAGTCCATTTTGAGTAATTTCGTATAATTTTATTCATATTCATATGGGGCTTTATACTTTAGTAGAACTTTCATCTTACTTTCTAAATGTCTCAATTTTAATTATGAAAATGTATTCTGTCTATTCCATTTTTGTTGTTTTACTCTCTCTTTTTTGGATTGTCCCAAAATGAATGTTTGGTTTCTTTTTTTGTCAAGAAATGTATAATTTATATCATTCCATTTTATTTTATCCAAACTTCAACCAAACTTTTATCTTTAGACAACTTTAAATATTCTTTCAAAAAACCCTCTTTAAATATTAATATTTGTGTCGAAACAAGACATCTTATATGGGAGGGTAATACTCCCTCCGTCCCTGATTTTCCTTTAATGGTACAAATGGCATGATATGAGGATCAATATAGTGAATATTGTGTGGTAGAAATATGTAAAATGTGTAAGAATTGTTGTGAATTACAAATTCTTTACTTTGAACTTTATTTGGATACCTAAAAGAGAAAGTTGGACGCTTTTTGGTGGGCGGAGTGAGTATTTTTATTTTTAATGCCAACAATAAATTGAAATAAGAAGCTTCTTGTCAATGCAGTTAAACACAATCATTTGGAAACTATTCAAATAAAATCTAATGGACATAAAAGAACAAGAATGCCAAGCCACCACTTATTTTAAAATGATGAAGATATATAGATGCATTATTACTATTATTATTATGTCTTCGTTGGTTTACTAACTTACATCCACTCCATTATTATTTACTTTCTGACTTGTATGTACCGCCAGCCACTTTCTGATCTTTTGTGATCTTATCTTTCCATTTTATCTCTTTGTTTCCCTCCCCTATGCTATATTATCTCTGCTTTCCTTTCTGGATTCCCTTCCCCCCTCCCCTTCCCTCTCCCTATTTCGCTCTTCAACTCTGTCATGTCACAAGTGAAGCTGCACCCCTGAAGCTTACACTCTATCACAGTATGTCCTGTTTTCCTATTCTCTTGCCCTTTATGGCCTCAATATTTCCTTATCTTCTTGCAGCTTAATTATTTACCTTAGCTTGGGTTAATTTTGTGTGTCTTTGGATCGGCTCCTGGCCTCTACGGATTCATGTTTTTTGTGAAGTTTTTGAATTGGTTGTATTGGATACTCGTTAAACTATGTTGCACAAAAATGTGAAAAACATCACAAACGAATATTTAGAGAGTTTCCTCAGAAGTTTTTGAATTGTTGTGCTTCATAGAAATTTATGGAGTCAAATAATTACAAATTATAAATAAATTTTGTTCGGTATAAATTTATGAAAAAATAAAGTCTCCGGAATTCGATTCTTTTTAAAAAAAAAAGTGGGGTGGCTTGGATGATTATTTTGGGGTGATGGAAAATCAGATTATTTTCAAGTAATGATCGAGGATGATGATAATAATAAATACTCGAAATAAATAAATAAATTTCATTTCATTTTTCATTTTCATTTACTCTAGTGCCGGATGACTCATAGTGAAAATCGCGCCAAAAATTGCATGGAATGACTACTTCTTCATAACATAGTTTACTGAGTAAATAAATAAATAAATAAATAAATAAATAGATCAATTCTGTACACATTAATATTGTCTCTGCTCATTTAGTTGTTTATGATTCCCGTGGACACATTAATATTGTCTCTGCTCATTTAGTTGTTTATGATTCCCGTGGACGTTTGCTAACTTTCTCTTTTTTGTTATTTCAAAACATTTATCATTTCTCATAACTGTTCTAATATATTGTTCTGCTCATTTCTCTATGTGGCGGTGCACAAACTTTAGTAATACTCCATTTAATTTTTACTTTTTTTTTTCTCAACTACTTATTTGAAGTTGGCAAAGTCCACTTTTGAACTAGAAAGATCTGTTTAAAGAAAATGTAGGACTCATTTGCAAGGATACAAAATGTCACAGTTCAAAATCATTTACAGTATAATCTTTTTCTCTTGCATGAAAACAAGGAGTCTGTTTGGAATGGGGGAATTGCTACGCAAAGAAAGTAGTAAGGAAATATATGATAAATTCGGGAAGGAAGACAATAGATCATCATTTTAGACTTTAGGCTAAAACGAATTACTTTTAGTATTTGTTCAAATTATTTCTTATTCATTTTCTATCATATAAATACGATAGCAATCTACAAAAATATCTTAGGAATTTAAGAACGCCAATCATATTTCATTTTCCTATGCATTGTCTAGATAAATCCAATTCAAACATAAGAAAAGATTTTTTCCATTGTAGTTCCCACTTTCTAGACTCTAGTACCGAATATAGGAGAAAATATATTAAGCATGCCAACATGCTTACTATAGAGCTCCTTTCTGTGGAGCAAGTTGACGTCATAAATGATCAAGATTTTCTAGACTTAGAAAAATGAATTCTGATCATTATTTGTAAGTTTTGTTTTATAAGCTCAATTGTACTTCAGATTGAAACCTGATGATATTTACCTCAATGTTAATTGGCTTAATTGCTCTATATCTATTTGAAACAGTTAACTGAACGAAACAGAATGCGGGAAATAATGAGTTTGTTCTATATCTACTTCATTCAGGTCCTAGAATCAGCAGTGTGGATTGATTGATATCGATATATAGTTTGCATTGGAATGAATCGCCCGAATCTGAATCTTCAGTGCGAAGATGATCTTGATTCCGAGGTCAGCAGCAATCAAGTCGCCTCCTCAAACATATCCAACGACAGCAACATGACCAACTCCTCCTCCTGCCTCACCAGTCAACTCGCCCTTGACTTGACCCTCGGCTCCAACAACGCCACCAGCTATGGCGGGGAGTCGTTGAAGAGCAGCGGCGGCGGCGGTGAAGTGGTGGTCCCGCATCCGCAAACCGGGCAGCTCTCACGGGTCTTCTCTTGTCACTTCTGCAGGCGCAAGTTTTACAGCTCGCAGGCTTTGGGAGGCCACCAAAACGCCCACAAGAGGGAAAGGACTCTCGCCAAGAAGGCCATGCGAATGGGGATGCTCTCCGACAGATATGCCGCGGCCTTGGCGCTTCAGGGCCCCGCTTTCCGGTCCCTGGGCGTCGAGGCCCACGGCTCGGTGCTCCACCCGAGCTGCTTGCCCCGCCACCAACAGCCTGGGAGCAGTCCCTTCCATGGCGGGGTCAGAGTTGGTGGGGCCCGGTTTGATCAGCAGGCCTATTTCGGCGTGCCTCTGTTGGTCGAGGATGATGACGGGGAGACGATGTTCTGGCCTGGAAGCTTTCGAAGAGTCGATGGTGGCAACCCCGCCGCCGGCCATATCTCTAACGTGAGCTTCGTCAAACGCAATCCTAGCACAACCCCGGACCTAAATTTGAAACTATGATCTGATCCATGTCTTTTTCTTTTTTAATTTTTACCGGCTGTCGGTTTTTACACCATCCATTACATCATTTACCCCTTTTTCCCGATCGATCGAGATGGATTGATTATATTCACGATGTTCGTTGTTTGCCTATACTGATGTACAATATCCTTGCCCATGGAATTCAATATAACAAGGTGATAATTTGTGCTTAACTTTCGACCAAGCTATTATCTACGGAGTATGTTTCAAAAACCCGATCTAGAAGGGAGTAGTGACCCCGGCTAGTAATGGACCCGGTTCGGGGCCCCCGGCCCGCTACTGTGCGGGCCCGGCCCGGTACTTCGGGTCCCAAACCGGTCTTTTGACCTGGACTGTAGGGTTTAGCGGGGCGGGCTGAAGAAAAGGTGACCTGGCCGGGCCCGGTTCGGGCCAATTTTTTTTTTCTTTTTCAATTTTTTTTGGTTCCCCCGGGTTGGGCTGAGTGTTTTGGGGGGGTGAGGAGGGGGTCAGTTAGGAAAGCAAAATAAAAATATAACCAGGCCCGAACCGGACCCGGAGCGGACCCGGTGGATACCCGGGCCGGTTCCGGGCCCACACCTTAAACCCCAAAAGCCCGCCGGGCCTAGGCCCGACCCGGGTCCATCACTAACCCCGACCAATGTCCGTATTTTGGTGAACAATCATACAACCTTATAATAATACTAGTTTTTGTGTGCGCGTTGACCTTAAATCCATCCATGTCTTGTCAAATTGATATCATTCCACGTATCAAAAGGTTTGCTTGATCTGGATTGAAACAATGGAAAATCTACGAAAGCAATACAAATTCGGAAATTCCTATTATAGAATTGCTTAAAAATCATTCTTTTAGATACCAAACATACTCCACCCCAAAAAGATTCAAGTAGACGAAGATATACAATTAATATGATATCATCCAATTTAAATGTTAGAGCAGCCAAGCTTTTAATGAAGAGCATGTCACTTGATCTTCACTAATCAGTGAAAGAATATCAAGAGGCGCGTAAGAAAGAAGTTTAAAGATGTGCCTGTGCAAGTACATGAAATGGGGAATCAGTTTGGATTTTAACAAACAATACAATCAGTGCGGCTCCGCGATTAAAACATAAAGAATTATTATGCCTTCATAATAGTGGTGCTTTATCGTGCACATGTAATTTAGAACAACAAGCTAAACATGGTCCAAATCTCTCTCAACTAAAAAGGATTCTAACATATGTTTTCAAACTGGCCTAAAAGGCCCCTACATTTTTAGTAATAGTTACATGCTTTACGTGTTAATAACAAGAATAAAGGGGAATTCACGTTGCACTCAAAACATCAGCTGCAAAATCTTCAGATACCTCATGGGAAAGAAAAACATTCAAAATGCAATATTTCAATGATAGTTTATACACATCGGCTACAACCATTCTTCTTTATAAAACGGTAGTGCCCGTTTGATAGGTATCAACTATTTTCATCAAATACTTCACAACTTATTTCCTCAAGTCCACTGAATCAGCTCAATAATAAAAGCAACGTATTGGGAGGATAATATAACACATAACAATACATCATTCTAACTTAAATGTTTAGCTGTAAAAGTGAACACAAATCATGCACATCATGTTAGATTTGAGTACTATGGAATCACACATAAGACTTCTAATATAATTTTCTAGTATAATCAAAACATAAATTAAGACACGATGTAGATTTATACATTGCTTCTCGCACCGTAACGCTACGATTAAGAACTCTAAGCCAAATCCTATGTTATCAACAACGCTTATAGGTATAAAACTTCACGACTCAAACAACGTACTCAAGTTGTTTATTTAACAATGATACATATAGCACTTTACCTTGATCATAGATGTTTGGAAGCGTAAGATTGAAAATAATGTAAGTGGCATGTACCTAAAATTGGAGAAACCCAAAACCCATGAAAAAAGCCTATAGCAGCATTAACTTAGGACTATTTGAAGGACGAAACTCCTAAATTATACGCTCAAGGAGAAAGTGGTTCATAGTCGGATTAGATCTTCATATGATCATAATGTACAAACAACCGATTCATCAATTCATACTTAAAATATGGGAAGTACTACACATGGAAGTTTAAAATATTTCGCCAAGCGGAACAATGTGCTTCTAGTAGAAAGCCATACAAAAGATGCAAAGGTATCAAGTACTTACAATCATTAAAGTAGAGCTTTATACTTTTATTTTGAAATATATGAGAAATTTTTATTTAAAGTTTTATTATTTTAAAATACAATGACCTAAGAAACTATCTTAGAAGGCTATTCAGTCTCAGAATTAAAGTTTATAAAGAATAAAACTTTCTTCCGTATAAAGTTGAAAAGCCTATAGCAGCATTAACTTAGGACTATTTGAAGGACGAAACTCCTAAAATTATACGCTCAAGGAGAAAGTGGTTCATAGTCGGATTAGATCTGCATATGATCATAATGTACAAACAACCGATCAGCAATTCCTACTTAAAATATGGGAAGTACTACACATGGGTGTTTAAATTATTTCGCCAAGCGGAACAATGTGCTTATAGTAGAAAGCCATACAAAAGATGCAAAGGTATCAAGTACTTACAATCATCAAAGTAGAGCTTTATACTTTTATTTTGAAATATATGAGAAATTTTTATTTAAGGTTTTATTATTTTGAAAGACAATGACCTAAGAAACTATCTCAGAAGGCTATTTAGTCTCAGAATAAAAGTTTATAAAGAATAAAACTTTCTTCTTTATAAAGTTGAAAAATTATCAAACAAGTCTTCTTAATATAGCTAAATGGGCAATTATACCCTCATAATAAAAACACCCAATCAACCCCATGAACTATGGAGAAACATCTATATCTTCAATTTTGTAGACAATATTTGAATTTTCAGGTTATTTGTCGGTTGTGGCTAAAAATAACGTTATTAACTAACTGACATAGTGTGTTGGTGCTTAGTTTTCTTTTATATCATCATTATAATTCAATAGTTTTCTTAGTTTTTTTCTCTTGCCCTCCATTCTCTATCTTCACCTGTGGCCCTTGTATCCCTCCTTCATGCAGTGTAGTTTCTATAGGATCCGGGGGAAGAAAAAAATTAGAGATTAAATTTATTACTTCATTAGTTCATACCACATACATATGGGGATCAGTTCACTTTCGTTACTTCATATGAAATACGTAGTGATTAATTATACAGAGGCTCTTCCAAATTTATGTTAACTTCGAAGTTGTTCTCTTCACTTAATCTGAATGTTTCTGATCTGAATTTTTTAAGTTCTGATCTGATCTGATATGAATGTTTCTGATCTGATCTGAATTCTTCTGATCTTATCTGATTTGATCTGAATCTTTCTGATCTGATCTGATTTGAATATTTCTATAATAAATGTAATTATAATTATAATTATTATAATTATAATTGTAATTACAAATATGACTTAAATAAAATTATAATTATAATTATAATCATAATTATAAAAAATATAACTATAATTAAAATTAGATTTAAAATTATAATAAGTATACCAATTACACTAATTATAACTATAGATACAATTATAAATGTAATTATATTTTTAATTATAATTACTTATATAATTATTATTGTAATTAAAAGTATAATATTTATTTCTATAATTAAAATTATAACTATAATTATAAATAGAAATATAATTACTCCGTATAATAATAACTAAAACAATAACAACAACAACAACAATAATAATATTAATAATAATTATTATAATTATAATTATATTATAATATTATAACAATAATAATATTATAATAATAAATTATATTATTATTATTATAACAATAATAATAATAATATAATATAATAACATTATTTTTATTATAATATAATAATAATATTAATATTATTAATATTTTTATATTATTATAATTATATTATTATTATATTATTATTTGTATTAATTATTAATATATTATATTATTATAATATAATAATAATATTTATATTATTAATATTATGTTTATATTATATTATTATTATTATTATATTAATATATTATTATTAATATTATTAACAATAATTATAAAATAATAATTATAATAGTAATAATTTTAATTAATATAATGATAAAAGTGATAAATCATGTTGAATTTTTCTGAACTGAATGTTTCTGATCTGGTCTGATCTGAATCTTTTTTATCTGATCTGAATGCTTCTGATCTGATCTGAATTTTTGTGATCTGATCTGAATAAAATAAGAATAAGGAATAAGTAATAAGATTAAGACGAAGAGATCAACTTCTCCATGACTTCAATGTCACTCAACTTTTATTATACTACTATTCTTTATCTTTGCTTCTCTATTAATAAATTAGTATTTTTGTTTATTTAATGAACAAATTAAAGTCAATAAATACTTGAAAACCAAGAACTGATAGTATATGCATTAAAGAGCTTGGTGTACTATGCAACAAATGCAAATAAAAAACAACAGCTAACAAAAAACTCTGAACTCATTTTCAAAGAAGCTTCAACCAATGAAACTTAGAAGAGATAAACATTTAAGCTTCATAAACATTTGTCTTAGTCTGAAGTTGAGAATTGGATAGCCACTCTAAGCATTAAAATATTTAGGTGGGGCAAATATTGAGACGGGTTAATTAATGTTTCCTAATTACGAAATTAGGGCTGGGTTAATCTTTTTTTCCTAATTAATGTTAATTAATTAATTACGAAATTAGGGCTGGGTTAAAAGTATTTACCAAAATACTGTTGGATTAACCATGGTCGGGGTAAGTCGCCCAACGGTTGGGCGACTTATAAGTCGCCAAACGGTTTGGCGACTTATAAGTCGCCCAACCGTTGGGCGACTTACCCTTAAGTAAATTCATCGCAGACAGCCACAGAAACAGATCGCTAAACAAACCCCCCATCGAGCTAAACTGCAGCGACCAACGACGAGTGACGACCGACGAAGGACGAGAGTCATCTCCAACTCCGGCGAACCTTCATCTCCGGCGACCCCATTCCGGCGAACCTCCATCTCCAGCTCCAACACTCTTTCTTCTTGATTCTGGGTAAATCAAACTCCATTTCATCTCATTTTGAACCTAGGGTTTTGAATGTTAAAATTTTCGAATTTTTGGATTATGAATTGATTGTGAATTCAGTTGTTGTGAAATGTGGATATGTATGAAATGTTGAAATTTGATTTTAAATTGAT